ACTAGGCGATAGTCACTCCACAAGCTGACCCAGAACCAGACCTTTATCACCGATATGATATTGTCAAGTATCTAAAAGTTGGTTCAATCATCGAAGACAAGCCTATAGCATTTTTAAACAATATAACTTTCCCGGCTACACTCTCAAGATCAAAGTAAGTTACATTTACAGCATACCTGTAAGAGAGCGGACTGACCCTGCGCAACCATGGTAACTTCTATCCTTTTTTATCTTTTTTTCTTACTTTCTTCAGTTACTTTTTGAGTTCAAGCTGCTTTGATGATTCATATCGATTTGAAAACACACCGGTAAGTAATGATAGAGACTAGAGCTGAATAGCTCATTGCGCATGCCATAACTGAGGGATCACGTAACTTATCAAATATGACGAAAGAGATGAAGGCGCAACATGAAATTTAGCATATTATTAAATCAAATRAAATTATTAAATTTAACATAAATTAACATGCATTAACATACATTTTGGGCATATTTGTTAGGAAACGTTGGAATTCGTGAAAGAACTATCTGACTARGTCGARGGCAAGCGAAGTGTTCCTCCTGAGCAAGTCTTAAAGAAAGAAGTTCTCGCTGATATTAGATTGACGAGACAGATTGAAACATGGTACGTAAGCTATTTCTCTCGATGACACACATAGAATAGCACCAAGACAGAAAACGAATTTAACTTGATCATTAAAAACAGCTGTTGAAGAGAAAGGCCAAGGGAAAGTTGCAGTTGCATGACGCGGATTACACGACTGACAGAAATTATGGATACTTATAAATACTCTTGGTGTACAGCAATTTGACCTAGAATACCTTGAGAAATAGAGTACAAATGTATCTCCACCATGTTTGATGAAGGAACGAGAGAGGCTCGCGAGGAATGCTTTGTCATTTGAATCTAAAATGGAGAGATTTTTTTGCCWACCTTTGTTGAAGTAYCTGTAATATTAATGATTTATTTGCGYTTTTARCGTTCTCTAGCTGGAATCGAAACCCYATGCGCGTMCTCGGGGCAGATGCCGCGTGGAGGTACATTGCAACGAATTCTGGCGCCATGAGGCAATATCCTGGCAGACAGACCTACAATAATCGGTGAGTCCATACACTATTAACATCAATAATACTAGTAAAACACAGTACGCTTACACTAGCAAATATCGGTGATGAAAATCATGTTTCAGATATGATCCAACGACGCGGCCATGGTACCATGCTGCCAAGACACATCCAGGAAAAGTCGTCTTTTCTGTACCATATTTGGACAATGGAGGAGCAGGGCTGGTTGTSACGACTAGTCAGACGATTAGCAGCGATTCTATGGTCAGTAAATTCTGTACAACATTGTTCAATGAATTAAAAGTAGAAAATGGTGGAATTCGGAAAACGGTTGTTTTTTCTTTTAAGGTTCGAGCTGTTATGGGTATTGACTGGAAAATGAACAAAATCAGCGATATGGTGACTGGTAGTGGAGCTCTTTGTCGTCAGGACAACGGTAAACAATAAATATATTATTATTATTATTTATCTTTATTCCTCATTACAACATTAACAATATCGTCATCATTGTTCTTCCTGGTATTGTTTCAGTGGCCTGTCTGTTGATTGATTCCAACGGATACATCGTTTACTC